CATGTGTGATCAGATTGTTCGAAATGTGTTGCGCAAATACACTACACGATTCAGACAAATTACTTCTTCTTATTGCTTTATCTAAATTCATAAAGGGAAATAATTGTTTTAAAAATATTGAGCAAACAATATTCTTTTCGATAGTTTCATCTTCAGGCTCTACAATTATGTATATGTTTATGTAACCAGAATATTCTAGAATAGTAGTCAATAACAATATTTTTATTATTGTTCCCTTGGGTTCCTAGTGGAACATAGAGCTTCAACTGCACGCCTCCACTTGCTTCTGTCTTCTGCTGTACTTTTCACTTGCATCCATGTTAATCCATACTGTTTCAGTTCCTCATCACACGATCTCCTCCATGTCACCCTTGGACGTCCCACTCGCCGCTTCCCTTTCGGGTTCCACTCGAGCGTTGGCCTGACGCGCGATGTCACCCAGTGGCCTCCTCAGCGAGTGTCCAATCCATCTCCACTTTCTCCTGCATATTTGTTGGGCGATTGGTTCCTGTTTTGTTTGTTCCCCAATAACAATATTAGTGTTTTTAAAATAATATCGATTTCTAAAGTAAGATCACGATGGAATTACAGTTTACTAAAGATGCATAAATTATAATAAGCATAAAATTATAATAGCAAATAGAATTTTAAATAAAATTCAGGAAATTTCTGAAAAAAACTGAGGATCATTCAAACCTAGATGGCCAGCGGGGTAAAGATAGTGTCTGAACCAACTTCTTCTTTTAGATACATAAGTTACGTTTCTTAATGTGGATCCCAACACCCAGCCTCAACAATATGTGGAAGATGAAATCCTAAGGTGAAGTTAAGATTAGTTGGTATGCGGTAAATCCAGATATCAGAATGAAGAAGCATCCTCTCTCAGATTATTTTTTATTAACATTATGGATTTCGTAAGGATTTTGATTAGTTTCAATGCACATTTAGTTACAAACCAACACTAGTTAGAGGATTAGTGGAAACCAGAGAGTAATGTACGCCTGTTTCGTCCTAGTTTGGCGCTCTTCACAAGTGCACGCCTTCAACCTCATCTGGGGTTGAACCCAGGATTTTCAGTTTACAACGACTGCTAGTTGACCATTTAGCTACTAGGTCTGAACCCTCTGACCTATAGAGTTTGACCTGTGTCAGTTTGTGATAAAGCACCACTGCCAATTAATACTTTGTAGATGGAGCACTTATTTCGCCTTCATGTGGAGGACCCCATTAACTACGACTCCTAATTACAACTTCAGGATATATATCCAGTACACGGAGATTGATATTTAGGTGTGAAACTACAGGACTAGTGGGCAAATAGAATAAAAATAAACATGTTGCGTAACATTGTGTGAAATTTGATAGCATAGAATTGATTTAGAATGACAAGTGGAACAAGTGACACAATACTGGGGACAGTTCAGAGTGAGAATAGTAATGGTAACAAGTAATGTAATAAAGGGAGAGTATACATATTGAATAGACAAAACGAAAAGAAAATTGGTAGATTCAAAATATGATTAGGGGTGAAGACCATCACAGTATACAGAGATCTGTATATAGAGATCTGACTTTTCTGTTTCGATAGCCAAAGATAGCTTCAGCAGTACAGATGAGTCGGGTACGTAGGGATTTGGGTTAATTACTCTTTGCCTTGTAGATGACTTTAAAGGTGGAGGCTATAGAGACAGGGTGATCATTATCGACCAGATGTTCAGTGATCACGCTTCTTATTGCTCCACTTCCACCTATTGGTTAATACCATGCAGGTTAGGGTTCTTGCACCCTCTTGGACAAAACTCGAGTCGAACGACCGATATACCTAGGTTCACATGAGTAGGTGAATTGATAAACACACATAGAGTTGGTCAACAGCGGGATCTTATCCTTCAGTTTATTCAACAGTAATGGTCGAATTGTAAAGGCTATTCTCAAAGATGCAGCAGGGAACGTTCTTTTCAGGAACTGTGATATCCTTCTTTTAATGATGATATCGGAAGCTAAGTCACTATTGAATTCCAAGCTCATGTACAGTGTTTTTTGGGTACAGATGGTAACTCACATTCCATAGGATTTGACTGTATATTCTTGTCTATAAAACGTTTTGGGAATCCATTTTCTATTAGGACTTTCCTCAAAAGATTTTCCTCATCCTCCAAGGTATCAGGGCTACATATGCAACGAATGAGAGTGGTAAGCGACCGGATAAGGTCTCGCTTTCGATCAATGGGTACCCAGCTGTAGAAATTTGTCAGCTGAATATTCCATGACAGCTTTCGATAAATCGATTGCTATATCAGTCAAGTTTGCATTGTGACCACTATGCTACGTGGTTTGCTATCACGAAATGTGGGTTCAAGGGTTCCTGGTGATTTCATCAAACCATCTACATGAAATAGTTTACTTAGGTCTGTACTCCTATTTGACAGGAGAAACTGTTTAAGTATAAGTTGGGAAGCTCTTAAGGAAACACTCCACATGATAAAAATTAGCGACCAAAGATTGTTGGTGAAATGTCTTAAAATCATTCACAAAACGTGTAGATATAATCAAAACTGGTTTCCATCAAGGTTTTCAAGATCTTCACAAATCTTCATCGTATAATTCTTTCTCTCATACATAAATGTGACTGTTTACTTTTGTTGAAAAAGCTTAAAAGTGTTATGTGTCGGTGGTGTAGTGATGAAATTATCACCAACTACCGATATACTCTGGGGATTCTATCCATAGCTGACGCATTCACTCCTGAACGTCGTCGAGTTTACTAGCCACTAGTGAGCCCGGAAATGAAGGAAGGTTGGATGAGCGTGAGACTGGTAACCTCTACTCGTAACAACCCTACAGTTCCTGAAACATCAAAACCTGAAGCCCTTTATTCCACTGAGACGTCAAAGAATGGAAAAATTCTTTATTCGCGTTTTTTCTGCTGAAGGCAGTAGTTGGATTAACGATCCATCTACATTAGGGACACAACTATGATTAAAGTTATAAATATGCTTAGAATAATATTTAATATAAAGTACTTATAAAAAGTTACTTTTAGGGATTCAATTTCCCCACTGAAAATGACTTTTCTAAGTATTTTATTCCCTTCGTTTGTATTCTCTACACGCCCGACGGTGATTCCTCGATTGAAAGATGAAGTACCTAGGCTAGCCACTTATTTTAATTGTATCTACCAATTCAACTATGCTTGTGCTGGAGCGAGTTATATCGGCCGTTGCTCTAGGAACTTGATTCTTCGTGCTCACTCAGGAACATCTACGAGTGTGGTGTGACTAAGTAAAGTGTAGTAAAAACCATCGACGATATTAGACCACCTGGTCGAAACCAGCCACAAAGCCGGCATTGAAGAATCCTTCTCTATTATCTACCGGGTGCCTAATAAATTGCCAAAAACATCGAAGCACCGCATGCTCCAAACAGCAGAGGCTATGGCGATTTGCCTTAAACGACCAGTGCTATGTGTTCGAAAGAAGCAAGTCCAGCCAGCCACTTTTACTGCCCTGGCAGGTTTTCAGTGGAGACTATAAATCCATGAATTTGTATCATTATTATCTTTCCTAATTATGTTGATGCTGTTGAACTGTAGTCTACTGATATTATTGATTCGATGTTATTTAAACAGCATTACTGTTGTTCATAACATTAATTCATTCATTCACTATAATGTATATATAACTGTAGAGCCTGATGAAGAGTAGGTTATCGAAAAGAGTGGAATTGGTTATCCAGAAAAGTTTATTGACAAGAATATGAATCTAAAATCAAAGCAGCCCAACGTACTATTAGTTCCGAAAAAGGCCTTAGTCTTACAAATTCAACTCTTTGGGGACAACATCAGCGAGATACTAACACAGCGACTTAGAAATGAGGAAAAACGAACATTCACTGCTGCTGAATAACGCTGTGTCTTCAAAACCACCCATATTTTGCGTTCGGGAGTAAAAGTCAAACTGCCTAATTTCACCTCTTCCATGTGTATCTACCAATTTAACTGCTCCTGTAGAGTGAGCCAATTACATAGGCCGTACAATTAGGCGTGTTTCTCGTCGAATTTCCGAACATCACCATGTGTGGTTAATCAAAGTACAAACAAAATCTATTCTTAGCGCTATTCTATCTCATCTTGTGGATACAGAATGCAAAATTGACATTAACCATGCTTTCATGGT